CCGCCACGGTGTGCCGCGGTGCACCCGCCACACCGCGCATGACCCCTTCCACGATGATCGAGAGGTCTGGGCCAGCAAGCTCCATGCCGCTGCCCGCCCGCGCGCAGAGGGGGCTGGCACGGCACGCGGCGACCGCGCCTTGAGCCAAAATGGCTACGGAAGGAGGAGGAGGAGGAGGACGAGGAGGAGGAGGAGGAGGAGGAGGAGGAGGAGGAAGAAGAGGAGGAGGAAAAAGAGGAGGAAAAAGAGGAGGAGGAGGAGGAGGAGGAGGAGGAGGAGGACGAGGACGAGGAGGAGGACGAGGAGGAGGACGAGGAGGAGGAGGCGGAAACCTCTCGCCCGATCCCCGATATCCTCGGGGAACGGCAACTTGGGCAGGCCTGCGACCGACACCCAGAACACGTCGCCCTGCACCCTCTCAACCGTGGCGGTCACGGGCTGGCTGCGCCCGAGGGCGTACGCCTCCTCCCGGGGAGACGCAAGACTCGGGCATGGTAGACGTCAGACGTAAGACTCAAAAATACTCAAAAAATCGTCGCCAGAATATGTTTTGACAATTTTTGGATGTTCCTCCTGTAGAAGGGCAGGCCCGACTTAAGACGCGGGTTGGCCTGACGGGGCCATCATAAAAACGACGAGACCCAGTCGGAAATTTGACGCGAGCTCCCGCTGCAGACATCCCACGAACACCGGACCGTCAAGACCCCGGACGCGCTCGTCAAGAGAAACGCCGGCAAACCCGAGTTCTGGCTTACTCGAATCTTACGTCTTACGTTTCCCCGATCCTCCCTCGGCGCGATGACCAATGCCGGCTTCTCGCAGCCGACGTCGACGAAGACGCCCCTCTCCGTCTTGGAACCGACGGCGCCCTCCAGCGTCTCACCCACCCTCAGCTCCTGGAGCGATCTCGGCTTGGGAACTCCAGCGACCGACACCCTGATGGTGCTGCCGTCCACGCCCTCGACCGTCGCGGCCACGATCTGGTCCTGCTTGAGAGCCTCGAACATCTGGCTGCGGTTTGCCGCGAGCACGATCCCGTTCTGCTCGAAGCCGATGTCGACGAAGACGCCGGCGCTCGATCGGAAGGCCACCCTGCCCTCCGTGGTCATGCCCACCTCTTCGGGGCCCCCGCTCCACCAGCAGGCTCTCGGTCCTCCCCCCGCGCCTCCCTCCCGCGCCCTCGCCGTGGGGGGCGAGGGAGGACGGGGCAGGCAGAGGGAGGAGCCCTGTGGATGCCATGACAGTGGACACTCCAACAATCCGATCATTGAATTCAACCATGTGTTGCACATGTGTAAAACACGTTCTAGCAGTGTCTCAAGCATGTCTTCACATCTTTAAAACATGCTTGAAACATCTTGTAGGCAACTGGAAATGATTTGGCGGCATGTTTCCTCTCCATTACTCGGCTTCCACGAGAGGACCACAGACTGGTGGGGGTAGCAACGGCCTCTCGCCACCTGCAGCGCCTCCCACGGCCTCAGCGTCGGCAGGTCGGCGGCGGACACCCAGACCTCGCCCCTGCGCGGGTCCACGGCCTGCACCGTCGTGGCCACCCTCTGGTTGCGCTTGAGGCGGAACGCCAGCTGCCGGGTCGCGTTGATCCTCGCGTTCTTCTCGTAGCCGATGTCCACCCAGACGCCCCGGTCCGACCGGAACTTGACCGTGCCCTCCAGCTCCATGCCGACCCGCAGGTCCCCGAGGCCCCGCTTCTCCCGCCGCGGGGCGGCGCCCTCCGACGCGGCCTGGGGGGCAGGGGCGCCACGCGCGAGGACAGCAGCACGCTGCACGTGTGCGGGGCAGCGGGTCGGGAGCTCGAGCGCGAGGACAGCACAGTGAGTGTGATCACGGGGGAAGGGATGGACAGAGGGTCTGGCACTGGGGGCGGGCACGAAAAGAGAAGGGGAGGAGGAGAGGTGCAGGGAGAGAGAGGCGGGGAACCGAGACCGAGGGAAACGGGTGAGAGGGCTGGACAGAAGGAGAGACATGCGTGATGGTAGAGGGGAGAACCGTTGAGAAGATGCAGAATGAGGGAGATGCGAGGGGAGGGAGTGAGGACGGAAGGTGTCGAGCGGGAGCGCTTGTTCGTTGCGGCGTGTGGCTGCCGGCGCGCGCCGAGTGTGGGTCGATGGCTGGCCGGGTGCCACCGGCCCTGCCTTCGAAAGGCTGGCATGTGTGCAACTGCACTTGCTCCCTAGGAGCATGGCGACATCTCTGGAACAATGCGCCTGCTGAAGGGGCCCCAGGACACAAAAATAAATACATACGAATCCCAGTGGATTCCCCAAATTATCTAATATTTTCTGGGTTTTTGTCTTCCCTCCCACTTCCCATGATTTTCCATATTTTCCTGGGAGTGGACGATTAATCGTGTCTGTGTTTTTTTTCCCCCTCCTGACTGTTCCCCAGAGCACGGCGACATCTCTGGAACCATGCGCTTACAGCCCGAGCGCCGACGCGCAGCAGCACAGGGGGCGCCAGAGATGGTATTCGCATGCATCGTATGCAGATCTACGTTTACTGCTGACTGCACACCCATGACTGGAAGATCAACTGCGATATTTTCTTCCGCACCCAGATTCATCGAGGCACGTCCAGCCCAGCCAGCATAGACGCAAGGAGCCACACGATTGTCTCCCTCCGAGCCTTGGCCCTGTCCCCTGGCGCTGTCGGCGTGGACAAAATCGGGCTCCACACCAAGGCATTATCAAAAAAAACGATTGCCGCGATGTTGCTGAAACGGCCCTCATCAATGCAGGGCCGATGTTCGCGTGCGCTGCACACCGCATGTTCCATGCTCTAGACGGTGGACGGGGACTGGCCCAAGATTTTGATGGCGCGCTGCGCTCGAGACCCTGAAGCTGGAACGGAGCAGCAATATGGTTCTCACAGGCTATCGGGTCAGGCGAGACGGGGGGGAAGTAAAGAGTGAGTCATCGAGGGGTGTTAGAGCCCAAACCAGCTGCCTGGAGTAGATGTCGCTCCCCCGCCCGGGGAGGCGGCACTAGAGGAACAAGCAGGGCCGGAGATCGGGGAAGTGAGAAGGCCCCCCCCTTCTCACTTCCCCCCCCCTCGTTCGCCCCCGAGGAAATGGAGTGAGAGCGGAGTGGGAGGGCGAGGGAAAAGCGAAGGGGACGAAAGCAGAAGCGGCTGGCGGAGAATGAATGCGTGGACATGCTCCAGGCGGGCCCGGCCCACGCAAAAAAAGGCCGCCGCTGAAGATTGCAGCGGGCGCTGGCGCAGGGTGCAAACTCGCGCGGGTGCGGCTCGGAGGCTGGACCAGTAAAAAGACAAAAGTAAAACGACCCAGGAGCACACACACATATATATACACATCTATATACATATATATATATATATAACACCGAAATCCCAGGATGTCCCAACATTTTCTATACTTTCTGGGTTTTCGTTGTCCCCCCACTTCCCATATGTTCCCATATGTTCCTGGGAGTCGACGATTACTTGTGTCTGTGTCTTTTCCCACGTTGCCCGATGTGTACTGCCAAATGCGCAGGCGCACCTGTCGGGGAGACGTAAGACTCGGGTACGGGGGACTCGGGCTGGCCTGACGGGGCCATCATGAAAATGACGAGACCCGATCTGGAATCTGACGCGAGCTCCCGCTGCAAACATCCCACGAAAATCAAACAATCAAAATCCAGGACGCGCTCCGGCTTACTCGAGTCTCACGCTTCCCCGAACCTGGAAAACTCTGCCCGTGCCCCGAACGTGGCGCACCCGGCGAGGCTAGAGCATGCGGCACACATGGCGCACGCGGATCACGCGGCGCATCTGGCGCACCAGGCGTGCGCGGCACGCTGGGGCCATGGGCGTGCTTGGCGCGCTTGGCGCGCCCTGGCACGCCTGGCGCACCTCGCCCCAGCGTTGCGCACGTGAGCGTTTTTTGTTCGGCGGTTCGACATTGGGCGGAAGGGGGGGGAGGGGGGGTCTGGCTCCGGACGTCTGCTCAGTGCGACTGTTTGGAACCGTGCCTCCTATGGGGGAGGGGCTCCAACTGTCTGAAACAGGCGCCAAAACGATCTCGCATGGGGCCTGTTTGGGTTCCAAGAAGCTGTCCATCCAGAGACTACCGCTGAACACGCTGCGGCTCGGGTGTTCCTATTCTGCTGGGAGGGTGGGTGGGAGTGAGCGAGACGGCTTGCGGGCGTGGAGGGTGTCTGGACCCTTCCCCCAAACCCCTCCCCCTGCACCTAGACGGGGCCTTCCGCGAGGAGTTGGAGCGTCCAAGACGGCCTCGGCGAGGAAGCTAAGATCATGGATTGAGTAAGGTTTTGGCTGCATTTCGGCCTCCTTGGGCAGGGAGGGGGGCCAATGTACTACGGCCGCTCCCGATCTCCTCCAAGATGGCCCCCGAGGCTCCCAAGCGTGCGCCAAGAGTGCTCCTAGAGGTGCCCAGGAGGCCCCAAGAGGCCCCAAGATGCCCCCAAGAGGCTCCAAGAGACCCGAAAGACGCCCCAAGAGGCCCCCCAGAGGCAGCCAAGACGCCCCACGAAGCCTCGGCGAGAAGGCCAAAATCATGGGCTCATGCCGGTTTGGGCCACACTTTGGCCTCTGGGGGGGGACTACTATGTAATACGGCCCCTCATTCGATCGATCTCCTCCAAGATGGCCCCCAAGGCTCCACACACTACTACAGTCAACCAGTATAGTACGGATGCGCGATAAGGATGCGAGGGCCTTGGACGCCCATTTCGAAGCTTGTCGAGCGGGGCGCGGCCAGCGAAGGCGGCGAAGGATGGACGGAGGAGGCAAGGACGCAAGGGTACCCTTGGGAAGATTGCCCATCCTTGCTATGCGGGTTGACTGTAGGTGAAAAGCAGCAGGATGCCATTGTCCTAACTGCTGGGAACAGTGTAGGATTGAGTCGGGCGTGTCCCCCTGCAGGGGGATCTTCGACGAAGAATGCAAAACTACTCCAACCAAGCTCCAAGATGATCAAAAAGTACTCAAAAAAACAGTCCCCAGACGATTTTGTGACTATTTTTGAATTTTCCGACGGGCCCGACTTTCGGGGATGAACATACCTCCCTTTAAGTAAAACGTGGCTTAGTGAAAACAACCTGGGGCCCAAACCTGGCGGGCGCGAGCCTGGACAATAACGGCCGCGGCGCCCTCTCGAGAACCGAAAACGGACAATTCACCAATCGACGTGTCACTGTTGGGGGTGCTGTCCACCCCCGAAAAAAGTCCGCCCCCAGAATAACCACCCCGACACGCGAAGCCGTTTAGGAAACGCACCCAATGAAGGAATCGAGCAAGGCCTGGGCTATTTAGTAAACGCCCAGGGCCGTTCAGTAAACGCCTGGGCTGTCCACCCCCGAGACTTGAGTGTAGGAACAGACGGGAACGCCGCCGGGCGGGCGGCCCAGCGCCAGCGCGGCCGGCGAGACGGCGTCCGGGGCCACGCCCCGGTAGCGCAGCGGGGGCGCTGGCCCCCGAGGGTGCCCTCCAGCGGTGCCGAGGGGGCCCCAAGAGATCCCCAAGAGGCCCTCCTCCTCCGCCTCCTCCTCCTCCTCCTCCTCCTCCTCCTCCTCCTCCTCCCCCTCCCCCTCCTCCCCAAGAGGCTCCAAGAGGCCCTCCAGAGGCGCCCAAGACGCTTCAAGGGGCTTCGGCGAGAAGGCCAACACTATGGACTGGACTCAGGCTTTGATCACATTTTGGCCTACTTGGGGGGGGCCCGAAGTAAGGAGTCCCCTCTCCTTGGATCGATCTTCTCTAAGATGGCCCCAAGATGGCTCTGGAGGCTCCCAGGACGGTCCTACGAAGTGCCCAGGAGGCCCCACGGGCCCCCCCCCAAGAGACTTCCAAGAGGCTCCAAGACGCCTCAAAAGGGCCCGGGAATGCCAAGATACCCCCAAGACGCCCCAAGAGGGCACAAAGAAACGCTAGAGAGAAATCCTAAGAGACTCTGATAAACATCCAAGAGGTTTCTGGACTGTCTGCTCGCCTTCCTCCTCCTCCTCCTCCTCCTCCTCCTCCTCCTCCTCCTCCTCCCTCCTTCCTCCACCTCCTCCTCTTTATCCGCCTGTTCCTCCTCCTCCTTCCTCCTCCCTCCTGCTCCTCCTCCGATTTCTCCTCCATCCTCCCCCTCTTGGGGTACGACATCTTACCTTTCACTTGACGCCACTGCATTCTCCTCCACGACCTTGATCAGGGCAACTCGTCTGAGCATCGTTTCTGGATGGGCTGGTGGGGCTACTTTTTTGTAGTCAGCGGCCGCGGGCGAGCGCGCCGGCGGCGGGTCCAGTCAAAGCGGGGCACGCAGCGACGAATTAAACTAAAGCGGAGGAGGGCGGCCACACCTAGAGCGGCTAACCACCAGGGCCTCACGCAGCAGCTCAACGGCGGACTGGCGAGTGGAGGGGGCAGCTGAAACTGAGCTGGTGGGGTTACTTTTTTTGGACTGACGGCTCCAAGGATAGATCCAAAAAGCGGGACGGGCTCGCTGGTGGGGTTACTTTTTTGATTCGCAGCCCGCAAGGAAAAGTCCAGAGGGCGGTGTGAACGAGGCTGGGGCACAGCGCACGGGAATGCAGATAATTAACGGCGCAGGACAAGTGCCGGCCGAAGAGGCAAACGCCACTGGTGGGGTTACGCGAAGCGTCTGGGACTGCAACGTCGCGACAAGTCACGACGGGAGCCCAAGACCCCACCTCCCTGCGCTGCTTCCCGCGCCGCATCGATCTCCGATGGCCCTGGGGCTCGAAAAAGCGGGCGGGAGCGCCCAGATCTCAGGGTGCGTCCCCGGTCCCTGCGTGCCGACGGCGCGACGACGGCGCGACGACGGCGAGGACGACGACGACGACGACGACGACGACGACGACGGCGGCGGCGACGGCGACGGCGGCGACGACGGCGACGACGGCGAAGACGACGACGACGACGACGACGACGACGACGACGACGACGACGGGGAGCAGCACCGCCCGGCGGCGGAGGCGGCACGTCCCGGTCATAACAGAAAGAACGAGGGGCGCCCGCCTGCGGCGCGGGCGCCCCGCCGCCGCCCTTGCCGCCCTTGCCGCGTTGCCGGCGCCCCTCGCCGTACCTCGGCGGGGGGCATCGGACATCGGCCCGCATCGTGCGCCGCAGGGTGGGACCGAAGCACGCCGCAGATGCCAGCAGGAGCGAAACATTGTACTGTACCTAGCGGGGACAGATATGCATCGTCGCCAAGCGACATCATCATCATCATCATCATCATCATCATCATCATCATCATCATCATCATCATCATCATCATCATCATCATCATCATCATCATCATCATCATCATCATCATCATCATCATCATCATCATCATCATCATCATCATCATCATCATCATCATCATCATCATCATCATCACATCATCATCATCATCATAACCATCATCATCATCATCACCATCATCATCATCATCATCATCATCATCATCATCATCATCATCATCTTCATCATCATCGTCATCATCAGCAGCATCATCAACATCATCAGCATCAGCATCAGCATCAGCATCATCATCAGCAGCATCACCATCATCATCATCAGCAGCAGCATCAGCATCAGCATCAGTATCATCATCAGCAGCATCACAATCATCATCAGCAGCAGCAGCAGCATCAGCATCATCATTAGCATCATAATCTTCATCAGCATCATCATCGACATCACACCATCACCATCACCATCACCAGCATCACCAGCACCACCAACATTACCAGCACCACCAGCATCACCATCACCGTCATCATCATCGTCACCATCATCACCATTACCATCACCATCATCATCAGCAGCATCACCATCACCATCACCACCACCAGCAGCATCAGCATCAGCATCAGCATCAGCATCAGCATCAGCATCAGCATCACGATCATCATCATCATCATCATCAGCAGCAGCATCATCATCATCATCATTATCATCAACGTCATCACCATCATCGTCATCATCATCATCATCATCATCATCATCATCATCATCATCATCATCTCTATGACCATCGCCATCACACCATCACCATCACGATCACCGTCACCACCACCACCGACATCACCATCACCATCACCATCACACACCATCGTCATCATCATCATAGTCATCGTCATCGTCATCGTCATCATCTTCATCGTCATTGTCATCATCAACATCACCATCACCATCACCATCACCATCACCATCATCATCATCATCATCATCATCATCATCATCATCATCATCATCATCATCATCATCTTCATCGTCACCATGACCATGACCATGACCATGACCAGGACCATCATCATCATCATCATCATCATTATCATCATCAGCATCAGCATCATCATCATCATCATCATCATCATCATCATCATCAGCATCAGCATCACCATCAGCATCAGCAGCATCAGCATCAGCATCAGCATCATCACAGTTTCGGCCGATGGCGCCGCGCGTGGCTTTCTGGCGAAGGCTGCAAGCTGCTGCGCCCGAACGGCGCCAGCGGCTGGCGGCGGAGCGGGCCAGGACGCACCGCGAGCCCGGACGACGCGACTCCCTCGCGAGAGGGGCGCGGCCTGCCGCTGTGGGGGCGCCTCCTGGGACGAGGCCCTCGCGGAGCGGGGCGCCGCGGACGCGCCCGCCTCGGCGGCTCACGCCCGTGCCTGGGAGCTGGCCCTCGAAGAGCGCGAGTGGCGCGACGATCTGCGTGCGGGCGATCGACTGTCCCTGCCCATTTCTGGGGGCACGTGGGGGGAGGGCGGGGGGTGCACCGGCACCCTCCACCACGCCACGCCCACAGGGCCACGACCGCGGGGAAGGGAGCACTGCGCGGGCGGCACGCTCGTGAGACTCGCGCGGGGGAGGGGAGGGCACGGCTCGATCCCAGATGCACCTGGGGCGGCGGGGGGGGGGACCCCGGCTCGTGTATCAGAGCCTTGCCTTATGTCGGGCGTGTCCCCCTACAGGGGGAGTTTCGACGAAAATTTTCAAAAAAAAATTAAAAAATACCCCAAGAAGGTCAAAAAATACTAAAAAAATAGTCCCCAGACTATTTTGGACTATCTTTTGACTATTTCTCTGTATTTTTTTTTATTTTTCGTCGAAAATCCCCCTGTAGGGGGACAGGCCCGACGTAAGCCTTGCCCCAGGCAGCGGGCTTTCTGTCCATGCCCCCATCGCCTCCGGGCGCGCAGGGTGGGGGGCAGGAGCACGGGCATGGATCGAACGTCCATCGTCGAGCGTGGGCCGGGCGGTGGACACGGTCTCGAGCAGGGCTCGACCCAAACGGTGCCTTCGGTTCTCGCTTTGGCTTCGTTCTCCCCTCGTGTTGCCTTCGCTCCGCCTTTTGCCGCAGAACGGAGAGGTCAAAGCGAAAACGGCCCACGAAATCGCCAAAGCACAGTTCAGCTTCAGGTCGGGCATGTCCCCCTACAGCCCTACAGGGGTATGCTAGACGAAAAATCCAATATACTCTCAAACTGTTTTTAAAACATACTCGAACATGCTTAAAACATCGTCCCCAGACTATTTTTGGAGCATTTTTGAGCATTCCTCCTGTAGAGGGACACGACACGCCCGACGCAGGCTTTGCTCGAGCCATGGCCTCGAGGCCGCCCCTCGGCGACGCTGCCAGCGTGCCCAGGGTGCCTCCGCCATCCGCTGCTCGGGGAGACAGGTGGGCACGGCGTGGCAAGACGAAGCTGGGACGAGGATAACATCGGGTGAGGATCTCCCTCTCCTCCTCCTCCTCCTCCTCCTCCTCCTCCTCCTCCTTCCTCTTCCTCCTCCTCTCCTCCTCCTCCTCCTCGCTATCTCCGCCGACTCCGCCGACTCCGCCGACTCCTCCTCCTCCTCCTCCTCCTCCTCCTCCTCCTCCTCCTCCTCCTCCTCCTCCTCCTCCTCCTCCTCCCCCTCCTGGTCGTCGTCGACGTCTTTCAGGGTCGGCGGCACTGGCCGTCAGGCTTTCACAATCGGGTGAGGAAAAATCGAGAATCTCCGAGATCCCGCGGCTCTGGAGGATGTCTCGGGCGCCGCGGCCTTCTCAGAGCGATCCGAAACGCTCTGAGAGCGTTCCGGAACGCTCTGGAACTGATTTTATCCGCGTCCTAGCCCCGCCCAGCGTGGGCAACAGACCCCTGCCCATCGTCAAGCAGAAGCCGGGGGAGCTGAACAGGCGCGAGTTCAACTGCGCAGTGTGATTCAGCTACAGTGGAGGCCAGTCCACAAGAAACCTTCCACAAGAAGCCCAGCCCCGAGACCCCAGGACGCCCATTGAAGCTTGGTGTGGGAACGGCACGCTGTCCATGGCGAAACCATCGAAACCCAACAAACCCCGGGCACCCCGGAGGCAAAAGCAGGGTGTGTCGGCATGGGTCTCCGCTGCTTGCGACGGCGGAGGCTGGCCACCGCAGCCTGCTCTGCTCCCCTAGCGCTCGCCGCCCGCCCTCGGCCGCGCGCCACGCGGCGGCCAGGACCGCGATCCACGCGGCGTGGACCAGCGAGCGCAATCGACGGAGCAAGAGGCTCCAGAGTGAGCGCAAGGGCGCCTCCACCGGCCCGAGTCGGCGGCGAGCGAGAGGGGGGGAAGTGAGAAGGAGCACGCCCTCTCGAGAGGCTCGGAAGTCTCCCGGCCTCCCGAGAAGTTCCCCAAGCCTTCCCCGAAGACAGCGAGGGCTTCTGAGCAGTCCCGCCGCCTTCCGGGAAGGAGGCTTCTCCTCTTCACTTTCCCCCCCCCCCGCTCGCCGCCGACCGGGAGCAGTTGGAAGGCCGACGTCGTCGGGGAACTGAGTCGTGGCGCCAAGCCGATCAGGTGGCGAAGGCCTCGAGGCGGGCACACCCCTGGTGGGCAGGGCGGTGGCAAGGGCGGCGTCGCCCTCGGGCTCCCCTGGGCGTCCGCCGCCGCGCGCGGTCTTCCCCGTGTGCCGACCGCGCTGGGGCCGCACCCGCGAAGAGGTACCGCTGCCCGGCTGTGACGTGCGGGTCCAGATCCGCGCCAAGCGCGAGCTGGTCTCCCGCCACGACGGCCCCTACGACGGCCCCCACGCAGGCAGGGAGGGAGGGGGGAGGGGAGGGAGGGAGGGGGGAGGGGGGGGAGAGGGAAGGGAAGAAGGAGGATGGGTGGGTGGGGGAGGGCAGGAGGGGCGGCCCCTGTGCTTGTCCTCAAATGTTGAGCTTCCTGGGGATGTCTGTGGGCCCACAAGTAGGGAGCCCACAAAGGACGTAAGGACGTAAGCACCCAACCATGTACACGAACACGGCCCCTCGATCCGCGAGACCGCCCGCGTTTTTCGAACACTCGCGCAATGCAACACTCGTTTTTCGAACACTTTCGAGCACTTTCGAACACTCGCGAGACCGCCCGCGTTTTTCGAACACCGTGGTGCAGGATGACGGTGAAGGAAAAAGCATGGGAGCGATTGAAAACACAGCTTTCTTAGTAGAAGAAGAAGAAGAAAATGAAGAAAATGAAGAAGAAAAGGAAGAAGAAACGGCAAGACATCAACTTTTGGCGCTCCGCACGGATTTCTTGGATCGGCGCTCGACCCCTCTCCCTGGCGCGCGGAGCGCGCCAGGGGCAGCGCCGGAGGCGCCGCCAGGAGGGCCCCAGCAGCGCGGATGCAAGAAAGCTGCGCGGAGCGCCAAACATTTATGTCTGTGGCGCTTTTTCTTCCTCGAGTTCTGCCGCCGGGGCGGATTCTGGAGAGGGCGAGCAGGTCCTCCCAAAACGACGACGATAACGCCCACGATCTCCCCCAACGAACGACGGCGCGATCTTCCCGACGATCTGTCCCAAAGAACTCCCAATCATTAATCGTCCCATGATCACGACGAATCTTCCCAACTCCCTTGATCACAAGAAAGAGTTTCGAGTACCAGGAAGGCACCGAAAATTGATGGCTTTCACGCGTGGGGCCCTGGGGGGCGATACTTGTTCGACGCTGTTTCGATATTGTTCTGGGTACTCGAAATGACTTCTGGGACGTGGTCCTTATACAGTCAACCCGTATAGTAAGGATGCGCGGTAAGGACGCAAGGGCCCTGGACGCCCATTTCGAAGCTTTTCGAGGGGGGCGCGGCCAACGAGGCTGGCCAAGCCCCAAAGCATTTTTGTGAAAAAGCATTGGGTTTTTGATGTTTTTATGTTGAAATGCTTGCAAACACACGGTGTTCGGTAGGATTCTGACATGAACGCGCGAGTGTGCTCTTTGTGGTATTTTTTGCACAGGATTCGCGGCCTGGGTGCATGACAGAGCATCGCGAGTGCACCGCGCGATGACGTGAAATCGCTGGATTTGACAGAATTCTTAAGATTCCTATGGTTTTCCTATGATTTCAGCAAGAGAGCCCGGGCGGGAAATTTGTACAATTTTTGTGAAAAAGCATTGGGTTTTTGATGTTTTTATGTTGAAATGCTTGCAAACACACGGTGTTCGGTAGGATTCTGACATGAACGCGCGCGTGTGCTCTTTGTGGTATTTTTTGCAATGGATTATCGCCGTGGACGACAGGACGTCCATGTCGAGAGGAAAAAATAAGAAAAATGTTGATTTTGTATTGTTTTTTACAGGTTAGGATGGGACCACCCGGATGCGGCCCCTATCTGCCGGCCTGAGGGGGGAGTAGGAGTATATTCTAATAAGGAATAAGGATAGGAGTAGGAGGAGGAGGAGGAGGAGGAGGAGGAGGAGGAGGAGGAGGAGGAGGATGGGGAGGAAGAGGGAGGAGGATGGGGGGGGGGGGTCTGGCTCCGGACCTCTGCTTACTGCGTCTGTTAGCAACCATGCGTCCAAGGGGGGAGACTCCATGTTACTCGAAACAGGCGCCCAAAACAGCCCAGATCTACTCCATGGGGGGGGGGAGGGGGGGGCGAGGGCCCGCGCCGATCGGCAAAACACTGAATGAGAAAACGATCGCATTCTGCATTGTCGGTGTTGTATCTTTGTTTCACAGTTTCCTGTTGGCGTTCTCTGAAAGGCATCTTTTCGCTCACCAGGCGGCTCCGGCTCCCCATGATTGTTTGTTGGGACGCTGTTCTCTTCCCTTATCCTTGCGTTGGCCGCGTTTCCACATCTGCCCCGCCGACCCCCACAGATCTGACCGTGGGGCCGCCATGAACATGCGATGATCCACATCCTGACCGCTCACGGCAGCATCCGAAAGCTTGCCTGTTGTAAAATCCCTGTTTGAACTTCCCACTCCCTCCTTCTCCTCCTCCATCCTCCTCCATTCTCCGCCTCCGTCCTTCCCTTGCCACCAGAGTCAGGGGGACGTAAGACCTGGGTACAGGGGACTCGGAAATCCCCGACGAGGTCGTCAAAAAAATGACGAGGCCGAGCCTGCATTTTGACGAGGCCTCCCGCTGCAGACATCCCACGGAACTCCTCCTCGTCAAAATCCGAGGCGCGGCCGTCAAAAAACGATGGCGAACCCGAGTCCTGGCAAACCCGGGTCTTACGCTCCCCCGACAGAGGCCTCGAGACCCCCCATGGACCCCAAAGGCAAAGGCTCGATGGGGCCAAGGGAAGGACCCTCGGGGAGCTTGTGGTTCGGCGACTCTGAAGGGTGTGGTTTGTAAAGGGTGCGGTTTGCAGCGGCACCCCGGGGGGGCACTCTGGGGGGCAGGCAGGGACCTCGATAGAGCTCTCCGCCGCGCCCCGAGGGGGCCCGACGAGGACAGCGTCGTGCCACCCTGCCACCCAGGCCCCAACGACCCTGATCGCAGGCCGCACCCTGGCGTCACCATGCCGAATGTCGGCAAAATGTTGCATCACTTTAGGCGAGCACTGAAATGTGTATGTACTTCAGCACTCCGCCCACCCCCACCCCCAGTGGGGGCGGGGGGGGGGAGGCTCAGACGTAAGCGTCTCTTTGAAAGCGGTGTCCGCTGTCTTGGGCACCAGGTGGTGCAACATGTTGTCGATGTATCGCACCCTGTGTAGTCGCTGGATGGTGGCCGGTAGCCAGTGATGTCTTTGCCCCGGCGCGCCCCTCGGAGTGGCCCTCTGCCGACTGCCGAGGGCTGCGCGCTCGAAGGGTTGCCGGCTGGGCCGGCGCCCCCGCGGGGAGAGCGCTCAGTGGCCGCTTGACACTGTTGGAGGTAGCTCCTCACTCGAGTGCCCATAGGTTGTTCGATTATATAGAGTAACCTAATCGCCATCATCACCACCACCACCACTACCACCACCATCGTCATCACCACCATCACCATCACCATCACCGTCACCATCACCATCACAATCACCACGACCACCATCACCATCACCATCAACACCACCATCACTATCGTCATCACCCTAGACATCACCATCACCATCAGCATGAGCATCAGCATCATCATCAGCAGCATCAGCATCAACACCATCACCATCACCGTCATCGTAACCCTCATCACCATCATCATCATCATCATCATCATCATCACCATCACCATCACCATCACCATCACCATCACCATCATCATCATCATCATCATCATCATCATCATCATCGTCATCGTCATCGTCATCGTAATCGTCCTACTCCTCCTACTCCTCATCATCATCATCATCATCATCTCAACAGCATCATCAGCAGCATCAGCATCAGCATCATCATCATCACCATCATCACCATCATAATATCATAATCGTCAGCATCGTCATCATCACAACCACCAACACCACCACCACCCTCACCACCCTCACCAACACCACCACCATCATCACCATCATCATCATCATCATCACCATCATCAGCATCAGCAGCAGCATCATCAGCATCAGCATCAGCATCAGCAGCAGCATCATCAGCAGCATCAGCATCATCAATATCATCATCATCATCATCATCATCATCATCATCATCATCATCATCATCATCATCATCATCATCATCATCATCATCATCATCACCATCACCATCACCACACCATCACCATCACCACACCATCACCATCACCATCACCATCATCATCATCATCATCATCATCATCATCAGCATCAGCATCATCATCATCATCATCATCATCATCAT